TACCTATACACTTATGAGACTTATGACACTTATATGCCCTTATTGCTTTTATATGCGGAATAGGGCGCCTTCAAACCAGACGCCTTCGAACTATAAGTGCTGTAGTGGCGCCTTTGTGACGCTGCAACCGCTCCACTAAAAAGTCTGTGCTGGTGAAATTAAAGGCACATGGGACTTTTCAACTTACGTCGCAGGGTGATGGGTGCAGAGGCAAAGCGCCTCAGATCTTTGTGATTTAAAGCTCTGAGTGGCACTGGAACTGCTATGGACAGGCGTGTCGCTTACCATCAGGCGCACGACTTGTTAATTCCTCAAGGCAAGGACAATTAGCACAGATAATATAATACTATACTAGTACAGATACATACAAAGAAAGAAAGAAATGTCGTACGCCTAACTCCGCTTTTAAGGACGCTTTTTTTATTATACCAAGTGACGGGACGAACAAGTCGTGCCTGTTGGTAAGCGACACGCCTGCCCATAACAGTTGCAGTGCCTCCTAGAGCTGTAAGTTGACAAATCCCTTGTGCGTGTCATTTCATCACCACCGTTTACCCTTCAAAACCGGAATACAGTAATGTTCAGATGACGGCTTGAAGTAGGTAGGGTGGCAGTAATTCCCTTGATGAACTCTTTTACAAGGAGCTCTACTGCTGCTTTATTATTTTGATTCTTAACGCTGATCAATAGATGGTAAACTATTTTTGCGGATTTAAATAGCGTATATTTGTTTTTTCAAATAAGCCAACGTTTCGGGCCCTTTACAGGTCCCATGGTCACAGTTGACTTTTGGTTGTCGGTTGGTTGTTTGAAAAAACAAATATACGCGATTTAAATCCGGAAAAATAGTTACATTTCCTATGTTTAACAATCGCGAACATCTATGAACTCGATTCGGAAATAAATTCAAAGAAATGCCATCTATGCAATGTACTGCAACATAACAAATCAAGAAGTATACCATGAGAAACCTTCTGTTTGGCAATTTTTCAAGGAGTTGTACTTCTATAAGCATTTAATTTTAAGGCGCCCTTACTGGTGTCACCAGGCTGGTGATAGGGTTCTATGTGTAGAATCCGGACATAGTTTTAGTAGCAGCAGAGTTCTCTGTAAAAGAATTCATCCAGGAAAGTGCTGCCATCTTACCTATTTCTACCGCCAAGCCGTAATGTGAGCTACAGAGTTGTCTACGCGGCCGTACAGGCGGGCTCAATTTACATGGAACCGCAATCCATTTGCCGCGAGACGTAATGAGAGCTATTTTTTAAATGAAATTGTACATAGCCCAACAAACTTTATGTAAAATGTGCAACGTACAAACTAGATACGATAGCTGCGGGAATATCGGGACAGTGTGAATTCTGTTTCAGACTCGCATCTTCGTTTCTATTTCTGGTTATATACTCGATGTACGTGACGCATTCGACATGAAGTTCAACAAGCTGATTATAAAATTTGATTCCATTTCATTGTGTCTGTACTCTTGGGTACTAAAAAAAACTGCTGTTCGTTGGTTTCTTAACTGTTAAATACGAAATCTACTAAATCCTTTTAGCCATATACAGGTGACTCTTGTATATGAGTCCAGAAAAACCTTATTATAGTCAGATTATTTTCTCGCTGCAGACTCGGTCATAAATAATCGGAGCGAGACAGCGATATTGCGATTTCTCTTACACCTTGCTTAGTGGCGTTCGCACGTGACTTGTGCGTGCGCCTGTTATCGATAAAACAAATCGATGCGGTACCTTTTGAATAATTTATTACCTGCTATTGTCTAAATGACGCAACTTTTTTATTTTAAGTAATACATAATAGTATTGTATAATAGTAACTGTATTTCATCATAGTTTTTATAAAAATTATATTCCACCTGTCGGAACTAATATTACGGCCGAAACACGTATTGTTATCAATAACGTGCTATATCAATTATTTTTTATTTCCATTTCTACTTTCACTATTACAACAAAATTGAACATTATCTTTATCGATAGCATTTATTTATCAACTGCAGTGATGCACCATTACCTGCTCCTAAGTGGAAGAGAGAGCGCAATATCGCCGTGTAGCTCTAATAATTTATGGCCGAGTCTGCAGCGAGTAAATAAATAATCTTACTATAGCGCGATTCAGAAACTTCGCTTAATGTTACTAACGCTATCTAGTATTAACAAAATCAGCTTAACCTATTTCTTCCGCCGTTAGTTTTTTTTTATTTTTTTATTTTTTTATTGTATAAAGGACAAAATACACAAATATGTTTCTAATCGCATTTTAAACCACTAAGGTTTGTGACAAAAACTTAAAGCTGAGAAAATAATGTTTAAATAAATTAAATTAAAAAAATATCTGCATTTCTGTTGCGGTAACTTCTCCTACCTTTCCACCTAGGAAAAAATAAATAGTGACAAATCGCCCTTTTTTACATCACGGCAGTATACAACTGCAGTAACTGCCTCCGTGGCTGAACGGTTACCATGCTGGACTGCCACGCAGAGGTCCCGGGTTCGATTCCTGTGACGGGAGAAATATTTGTACGGCTTATATTTATTTATTTCGTGAGTTTGGGTGTAATTTGGGCTTGTCTACCTATGTGAGTGCCCATGGCACCCGCGATAAACTGTTTCCCTGAGGCGAGGCTATCTTTAAAAAAAAAAACTAAATTTTTTGAAAAATTGTTACATGCGCCCTTTTAATTAACATTACAATTTACCGAAAATTAACTGATTGTTATTAAAAGGATTATTTTCTATAAAAATAAGCATCATGGTACCGGCACGCTAAGATGGCCGTTTTGACGTTTGTCCGCTCATCAAGTTTCGTATTAATTCATAACTACGTGCAATAAAATTTATGGATGTATAATTTAACGACACAACTCGGCATTTGTTTTTCGATATTCGAATTTTTTTTAAATGAAATCTAATACGATCGCCACTTATAGGATCGCTGTCACAATACAATTTCTACCTCCGGCAAACTCGCGTCAAAGCTCAATGCAAAACAAAGCAGTTTCGAAATGACGATATATTTAGTAAACATTTTTATTTTCGTTTTATTAAAACTTTTTAATCAGCTGCTCCTTACAATACTAGTTATAAATCTAAAAACTTATAGATGCGACTCGCATTTGATTATATTTTTTTCGATAATTAATTGAGATTTGATCTCTCTATTTTAATCTGTCAAAACGGCCATCATAGCGTGCCGGTACTGTAAACTAAATAAAGATTACGCTTACACTACAAATAAGCGTGAACATATTTCGTGGTGATGTAAGTTGAGCCTCAAGTTGCATAGTTCTATACATATAATATATTATTATTCCGCGTTTGGACAATTTATACTTATGTATATTTTTTTTATATTTTTTCGCATTTTTTGAGAAAAGCGGTACATATATAGTTATAAATGAATTTTACTTCTCCTTATTCAAACAGAAAATAATTCCTCGAATGTCGTATCGGAGGATTCGTGCTCGATTAACAATTTTGTCTTCAGCTGGATTTAGAATATAAGGGATCTTTTTACGGATATCAAGCGACGGAACGAACAAGTCGCGCGCCTGGTAATAAGCGACATGACTGTCCATAACAGTTGCAATGCCACTAAGAGCTTTAAATCACAAAGACACGTGAAGCACTGCCATTACGCCGGTCACCCTGAGACATAAGTTGACAAGTCAGACGTGCCTGCAATTTCACCAGCACCCTTAACCCTTCAAATCCGGCACGCAGTCACGATACGGCTAAGCTAGTGAACTTATGTAAGGTAATGCAAACTTATTGAAGTGGCAGTCTTACTACATAATAGATTTTGTAAACAATATCTACTTCTTTTCTATACTAGTTCAAGTAATGCAAATAAAAAACAACGGCAACAACATTAAAAAAAATTTAATAAATCAGTTAAAAGTAAAATTCGTTGATGTTGAGTAATAATTATGGCTAGCTATTACAGTTAATATTAAATTAAAAATAATAAATGCTTTATTTTTCACTAAGTTATTTACATTTTTTTTCTTATAACTTTATTTCTATAATTAATTGCTGTCGCGTGGAGTTTTTAACCAAAGAAAAGATTTTATAATTGTTCAAAAAAAAGAATTTATTTATTATTTATTTTAACACGGCATTATTACATACTATAAGACTATAACACCAAGTTTATTTAGCGACAAATCGTTTTCAGATGTTAGCAGTTGAAATATTTTTGTACGAATTTTTAAAAACCAAAGCGTTTTTTTAATTTTAAGAACACCGTGTTAAAATATTACAGATTAATTAAAAAAAAAATGTACGACTGGCATAACATCAAATATACTTAATTTTTTTTTAAATTTGAAAATATAAAAAATCTACAATAAATAAAATTATTCTACTTAAAAAACACAAGTTCGCAATAAATACATCATAATTATTTAATTATGGACGTATGTATTAAAAATGAATTAAGTATAATTTAATACAGTGTTTCGACCGTCACGTTAATAAATGTGTAAGTTATAAAATCACTGGTCGTTTTAATATATTTTTATTTAAATAAATTCAGTGTCGCCTTATTGTAAAGCAGTTTTCATATAAAATTTCACAGCTATATCACCCAAGCACGGTCTATATTATAGTCTTTTTGTTGTTACTGCACCCCATGACGAAAGAACGTACTCAGGAGCGTGCGTACGCCAGGTATAATTTTTTTTAGAGATAGCACTTCATGAATGTGGCACGTGCCTAGAATTGGGTTATGGAAAAATATCCATTTTGAAAAATCTATTTTTCAGATAAAAAAATGTTTTTCTGAATATTTTTTCCAATTTAATTCCATTATTGCTATTTGTTCTGAAAAATATATTTAAAAAAATTTCCGCCGATTTAAAATTTTCATACATTTAATCAACACGCGTAGCCCGCAATCAAGCCCAACGCTTCATTATGAATGGGGCCATATGTAATTTTCAGGTTAATTTCCTCTTATTAATTTCGAAGAAGAATTATTTAATAGTCTAGTGTAGTATCCAGAAATAATATTTAACATTTCACGATAATATACTTGAATACTTAATTGTCACAGAAATTAGGTAGAAAAAATTAACCCTTTAGTCCTAAAATCTAGACAAAAAAACCAAAACAAGATTATTAGTCTTTTGCACGAGGTGACTACAAAATCAGCCTGTCTATCATAGCTATTATATAGTCAATGATTGCTAAAAATGTAATCTTGTATACGAAACGACAGTACATCCGGAACGCAGTTAGTCGCATATTATTTTGTACGAAACGTCTCGCGTGTCACAGTCTTGACAATATTCCAGAACTTGTTGGAAGGTTTTAGAATTGTAAAATCTGGTTGATCCAATCCCTGAATTCGGAGATTCGTGTGTAGACTCCGGGCTGGTTGGGCTCTGCGCAGCCGATGCCCCACGAGATGATGCCACCGAGGACGAACCGCTTATCGCGGCTTCTTTGCACTACCATTGGGCCGCCGCTGTCACCTGCATCATAAAATAAAGTATGACATCGAGTTCAGTTTCAGGATGCACATTGGAAATGAAAAAAAAATCGCCTATATGTGTCTGCAAAGAGCCCGAAATGTTGGTTTGTTATATGTAATGTTTCGTTTTCAATACAATATTCTTGACGAGTATACAATATACATGCATAAACATATTTAGATGAACCTTAAGAAAAGGTTGAATTATGATAACAACGTTCACATGAACCCCGGGCAACATGTATCAGAACGTTTAATTTGAAAAAAAGAACGATGTCAATCGTTTTTTGGTTTCGATTAAAAATTCTGGTATATGTTCATAAGAACTATATACATTATGAGAACGTTTTATTTGAAAAAAAGAACGACTTAGTCGTCTTTTGTTTTCGATGTTCATTTGAACCACTGGCCACATGAAATAGAGCGTTTAATTTGAAAAATAACGACTTCAATCGTCTTTTGATTTCAGTTAAACGTTCTGGTATATGTTCATATGCGCGACTAGCCACATTTAACAGAACTACGACTGTCTTATTAAATTAAGAAGAGCGTTTAATGTTAACATTTTGGATATTTCTGGTTTTATTATTAAAAAGTTATTGATGTCATTTATACTTTTAGTTAACATAGATTTTCATAAGGTATTTCATATCTCTTGTATTTATGGAATAAGCCTGGGCAAATTTAACGATTACACCCTGTATAACGTAAATATGGGAAGTAATCTTTTCTGAATTTTCTAGAGCATGTTCTTCTCTCTCTTTCACGAAAGATACACACCTTCACAACTGTCAGATCCACCCGTTTTCCATCCAGCGCATATGAAAATGTTGGGTATGTGTTCGTTGTATCCTGCAGCCCGGTACATAGCCTCGCAAGCTGTGTTGTTGATGACCGGCACTTGCACTTCTTGTAACACGCTTGGGAGGGGACCCTCTGTGGAATATGAGAATGTAATGCTTAATTTGTGACTCATAATCAATGGCCGGAATAGGGTATTCAAAATAATTTGAAAAAGCTTAAAACACAGAGAACGGGTGCGGGTCGGGCGCATGTCGGGTCGGGTGCACGTCGGGTGTAATTCCGTGTTTTTATATGGACGACAACACATCACGAGCGGGCGCGGGATCCGACCTGTGTCCGCCTCGCGCCCGCGAGTGGTGTGTTGTCGTCCGTATAAATACACGGAATTACACCAGCCATGCACCCGACCCGACAACAGCCCGACCAGCTGTCAGTGTTTTTTTAGGCCTAAATGTCTATATATAGATACAAAGAGTGGTTAAAAACCACCAAATATTAATAAATTAGTTTTTCAAATTCCGGATTACCTAAAATAGTTTTACTGCACCGTAAGATAAAATTATTTTAAGTAGCAATAGAGCTCCTTGTGAAAGAGTTCGTCCAGGGTAGTACTGCCACCTCACCTATTTCTACTGCCAAGCAGTAATGTCAACATTACTGTGTTCCGGTTTTGAAGGGTAAGGGTGCTGGTGAAATTACAGGCACATGGGACTCGTCAACTTATGTGTCAGGGTGACGGGCTCAGTGGTAGTGCCCCTCAGGTCTTTCCAATTTAAAGCTCTGAGTGGCACTGTAACTGTTAAGGACAGGAGTGTAGCTTACCATCAGGCGCACGACTTGTTCGTCCCGTCACTTGATGTTACAAAAAAATAAAAAAGAACTTACCTAGGAAGTTGAAGTGGGATTTTAAAGTAATTCTAGTGGCGCTATGTAAATAACGTAGTAGATAACTAACCAAAAGATTAATGGCAAAGTTGACTTTTGTATGAGCTACACATAGACTTACAAATAAATGGACGACGGGTCTAATAGAAAAACCACGAAAAAAATGTCCCAAGTCAACCTATTTAAACGTAGTGACATGTAAAGGAATATGAAAAAGCGAAAACGTTGAATTTAAATTGTAATGTCATCGCAGTACTGTCTAATTTTGCTTGCTTCGCTGTCAGTCGAACAAACGAAGACTAAAGCGTGAATGACGCTCTGTATACAATTTTAACGCCCTATAAGTTCGGACACTTTTTAGCGCGGACCCGACGTCCATATAATTGTAAGTCAATGGAGCTACAAGTAAAAATGGAACTCAACTCAATTCAAGTCAACTTATCTCACGTGTGATGGGCGCAGTGGCAGTGCCCCTCAGATCTTTGCGATTGAAGAGTCTATATATACTATCTCAAATTGCTTTGGTTGATTCCGCATTACAGGGAAAGTGTTGATTCAATCACTTTGTATAAAATACATAGTAAAATGGAGAATATACACTGATTACTATGCGGTGCGAAAACACGATTCCTAAAAGTTATCACGATAGAAAAAGAAACTTTAATGACATACGGCATTTTGCTTTGGGGTAATGCCGCCGATATCAATAGAATCTTTGTCCTGCAGAAACGTGCAGTTAGGGCAATTTACAATCTGGGCCCCAAAGTATCTTTGAGAGATAAGTTTAAGGAAATTAACATTCTTACACTAGCCTCACAGTACATTTATGAAAATGTAATTTATGTTAAAAGGAATAGTAATTTATTTATGAAAAATAGTGACAGACATAACATTAATACGAGGAATAGAAATAAACTAGCTTTTCTTGATAGTCGTCTTCACAAAGTCAAAAAATCATTTAAGGGGCAATGTATACGCTTCTATAACGAGATTCCGGTTGATATACAAAATTTGCTTTTCACGAGGTTTAAAACTATAGTGAAACAAAAACTTTATACTAAAGGTTATTATACAACTTCTGCGTACTTGGATGACAAAAATCCGTGGTAGTAACCCGTTTAGCTCATGGAGGTAGTCTCGATCTCTGATGTTTCAAATAAAAAAAAATATTGTAAATGTTATTTACAAAGAGCAACCCCTAGAGTTTCTTGCTCATTCTTCTCAGGGGAATCTGCCTTACGAATGAGCGGTAGAGTTTAACCATTGTGACGATTTCAAGTGTAATAATGTTTACCTATGGAATAAAGATTATTTTGATTTTGATTTGATTTTGATTTTGAAACTCAAGCTTACATCGAACATTTACAAGACAAACGCTATATTCTATGGGTACTTTACGTTAGTTTTTTTTCGTCTGAGGGCGCTACTGGGAGTGTACTTATTGTTTTCTTGTGAGTTTTAGTAAAATAGTTCTTATGTGTTATTTGGAAAAAAAACTGTGACATAGTACTTCGAACCTCCACAAATATGGTCAATTAGTGTTTGTGAGAAGAACAGTTTGTAAATTCAAAAGTTATTAGATGAACAAATTAATTGATCACGATGATTTAATGATTGATTTGATGATTGATGAAGTTAACACCTTAATATAAATATTTAGTCTATATATCACGTGATACAGTGTATGATTACCAAAACCGTTAAATATTGAATGTATTCGTTGAACTTTGGACTCCATTCTAAAACTGTGCAAAAAAACAGACATTTGAAAGACATTTGAAATTTCGCTCCGAGACGTCAATAGCCTCTTGGTCTAGTGGTCACACAGTGAGACTGCTATCCAGCGAACGCGAGTTCAAACCTAAGCGCCGACGCAGATTTGTTTAAAAAAAATAACTCTCCATCTAGCGAAACACGGAAGACCTACATGGCCAAGCAAAGGGTTGACTAGGAATCGATAGTTTGTCAATCGCTTCAACTATTTAACACACGAGGCGACAATCCATCATTAATTATTACAAGGTGACTAAAGATGGCGTTACCAAAATTGAAATGCGGTGGCTGCTTACAAATTATTACCGATGAACAGTATCTCACTTGTTGTAAATGCCTTGAACATTATGACTTGGACTGCGCAAATGTTAGTGTACAGCGTTTCTATAACACTATGTCACCGGAGCGGACAAAATACTGGTTATGCCAAACTTGTCGAAGTAAGATGCCCAAAACAAGTAACACAATTACGCCAATACGTGACTTAAAAATTTCTTCTAGTAGCATTTTAGACAAAACTGAGGCCTATCGCTCCCCAAGTCATAACAATGTCACACAAAGAAAAAAGACTAGTTTTATGAATGACAGCAAGTATCAACTTGATAATGACTCCAGCATTTTAGGAGACATACTACAAATAAACGTTGAAACTGACACTAAAAATACTATAAACTGTTTATCGACTGTGAAACAATGGGAAAATTTATTAGATAAAAAGTTTAATCATTTAAAGGAGCAGTTAGTTGCTGAGATGCGAGAACTTACCAAGTCGGAATTTAAAACTATTACATCGGAGTCAAAACAAAACTCTAGCATCCCAGAACCACAATAACAAAACACGGAACAGAAGTTACTAAAAACTAGTGTTGAAATTTTAGAAAGTACAAGTAAAAAATTGGAACTAGAAATAAATGAGATGCGTCAAGTGCTACAGAGCATTAACAATAAGTGTAATGATAATTATCAACAAAGTTCTTATCAAAACGACATTAAGAAAAAAATTGTTTTATATGGTTTTGAGAAGCACCCCTGGGAAGAAGAATATGAACTACGTGATAGAATAATATTTGCTTTTCAGGATATTTTAAACATTAACCTCACCGGCTATTTAGAAGACATAAGAAGAATAGGAAAGAAAGGAAATCGACGGCCTATAGTCATCGAACTGTTGAACCAACAAATGACCAAAAACATATTACAACACGGTTACTATTTCAAAGGAACAGGTATAGCAGTCTCAGAATATCTGTATATATAATCGCTAAAAAAATAGAACGTTGTTGATTGAGACCCTAATCAAAGCACGACGAAACGGACAGCGAGCACACATCACTGATAACATACTATACATAAATGGCAAAAAGCACACGCCTAACCAACGAATCACCGTTCTGAACATAGTGCACCATTTAACCCTATAAATGAAGAATTACTGCAAGACCCCCAAAGCGCGTAAAACGAATTTCGAAAATCATGATAAGACAAACAATTCTGTGAACAATTTTCGCCGCTAACTTTAACATATTGTTTCAAAACATTAGAAGTCTGAAAAATAAAAGACATATACTGGAAGTCGCCACACAGGAAGATGAGAACGTGCAAGCCATCTGCTTAATAGAAACATGGATCACGGAGAAAAAGTTAGATCTTCTTCAAAAAAATGGCTTTCAACTCACATCCTACTTTTGTCGATCCAGTCGCAAAGGAGGTGGCGTATGTATATTGTTGGAGGAAAATATTGTCTTTAATGAAAGAAAAGATCTATCATGCCATTCAGTAGAATTTGTAATAGAAACATGTGCAATAGAAATACCTAAATTAAATTTAGTCTTAACAGTGTTATACTGGCCTAATAGACATAGAATGCCTGAATTGTTTTTCGAGTCACTGTCAAAACTATTAAGTCTTTTAACAAAAAAAGATACTAAAAAAAATGTTGTTGTCGGGGGAGATTTTAATGTTAATTTTTTAGTACAAGATATTTCAACCGTAAATCTATCGAATTTTATGAAAAGCTTTAGCTTTATACAACAAATTAAGGAACCGACTAGAATCACTCAAACCTCTGCCACTTGCATAGATCTAATATTTACCAACATACATAATGCTAACATAACTTTACAAATGACAGTCAAAGATTACGGATTCTCAGACCACAAGGCAATCTTAATAAAAATTCCGAAACAATCAAGTAATGGTAAGAAATTTTGGTACATAGACAAACGATCATTTAATGGAAAAACCGTTGCTACCTTTAAATCTGAACTTCAAAAAGTAAAATGGGACAATTTAATAAAACAAAGTGAAAATGTAAATACAAACTTCAATGCATTTCATAATAAAATTCAACAAATACTCAACACCACAATTCCTAAAAAAGTATATCATGCAAAAATAAGCGTTTACTTAAAATTGTAGCTTCTAGTTCAAATAGCCCTATTCTAAAACACAAAACTTACGAAAAATTGTTAAAACAAGCAGTTTATGTCTCAAAGAAAGAACAGTATAAAGGTATTATAAAAAATTCAAGCAACATTACAAAAAGTATGTGGCAAATAATAAGAGAACACACAAATAAGGGAACGAAAAAGGAAAAAAAAGAATATATTTCATTAAACGTAAATAATTTGGTTACTGACGACCTAGTTAAAATTGCTAACCATTTCAACTGCTACTTCACATCAGTGGAGTCACACCCTGTACCACACGAGCCCTTTGCTGTCGGTCGACCAGTTGACAAACGTTCTGAGAATTCAATATTTATACGTCTCACTGATTCCAAAGAAATTTACAATGTAATTAGAAAATTGAAAAATAAAAGAAGTGGCTACGACGAATTATCACCAATACTAATAAAGGCGTGTGTCACTTACGGTAGGAGTTTTTCCAGAACTACTAAAAATAACAGTTGTAAAGCCCCTGTACAAAAAAGCGATAGGACTTGTTGCGATAATTATCGTCCAATAGCACTCCTATCCACGTTTTCCAAAATTTTTCAGACCATTATGCACAATAGAGTTTATTCGTTTTGTGAGAAATATGCAATATTTAACAATAGGCAGTACGGTTTTCGAAAGGGACGTTCTACGGGTCTTGCTATTTATAATTACGTCAACGAAATAATGAACATATTTAATGACAAACATCGTGCAATTGGGATCCTATTGGATATGAGCAAGGTTAATGACAGGGTTCTATATCCAATTTTGCTAAACAAGCTTTATGACATAGGCGTGAGGGGTGCAGCTCATAATTGGTTAGTTATTTAAGGCAACGCATGCAATTCGTCGACGTTGAATTCTATGACCGTAGGACGGGATTTATTAGGGGTGTCAGGTCTGACAAGATAATGTTAAGTCGATCTATCCCCCAGGGTAGCGTCCTTGGATGTTTGCTGTTTTTAATTTATATCAACGACTTGCTCAATCAATTTGATATTCCTTGCATTCTCTTCGCCGACGACATTTCGATGATTCTACCTTACCCCAATACTACAAAACTTCAAGAACTTTTGAATTTAAATTTGAAATTAATAACAAGCTGGCTTAATGAACATAAGCTAGAAGTTAATTTTAATAAAACTAAATTAATGCAGTGCAATGCCCTATAAACTTAATGTATAAATTTAACAACATTCCGCTGATTCTGTAAACTCCCTTTGCCTCTTAGGAATAAATATCGACATCAATTTAAATTGGAAGGATCATGTAAATAAAGTTGTTGGTAAATTGTCAAGTTTCACATATGCTCTAAACGAACTCAAAAAATCGACTGACCTTAAGACAGCAACTAGCGCTTACTACGCGTATTCTCATGCCTGGCTTAGCTATGGTGTTGCGTTGTGGGGCGACAGGAATGACGCAAAAAAGTTTTTGCGTTACAGAAGAAATGTATTCGCATACTCGACAATATAGACTCGTTTACCAGCTGCCAATAGTACTGCATCAAATATAATGTCTTGACTTTATCATGCATATATATTTTACAAATGTGTCTAATTGTCAAGAATAATTTGGATTAAAACCCAAATGCAGGCTAGCAACAACAGTTTCAAAACTGCAAATGGTCAACTTGGGTCCGTATTCTATGTCAATTAAAATTTATAACGCACTCTCTGACTTTTTAAAACTGATAAATAGCCTAATATGGACAGGCATGTCGATTACCAACAGGCACAGTAAAAAAAGACCCTGAGGCATGTGAAAAGAATAATAATAATATTCACCATCATAAAGTCTTCCCCAGCCAGTGACGTAGGCAGTCTTCCCAACGAAGTCTTCGTCGTCATCTGGTACACACACGGGTAGGATGTTCGGCTGGAACGTGACTGGCTCATAAAATCTGCAATTGAAAAGTTTTCATAAAGTGAGTCACTAAAGGAGAACTTCTTATGGAGACGGTCTTATAAAAATATAATCTCAGTACAGAGTACTAAAAAAACCGACCTCAAAAGTACGTGGAATTACATCTATTTGCCAAGTTTTATTGAAATATCACCTAGTTTGCCACTATACAGGACTTGACACAGAAGATAATATAAATCGGTTCTCACTACTCAAAGTATATTGAGAGAAAAACGCCTTGAATTGGAGAATAGCAAAACCAACCATTACAATAATTGTTCCTTAAGTAAAATTTAGGCGCTATTTGCAAAAATGAATGTTCATGCGTGACCCTTAGAGGTGGATGATTTTTTTCAAAATGAAATGGGACCATTATGGAGCACCTACCCTCTTTCCAACAAAAAAGAATCTATATCTATAGAAATAGTTGCAATGCCACTCACAGCTTTAAATCGCAAAGATCTGAGGGGCACTGCCACTGCGCGCGTCACCTTCAGACATAAGTCAACTAGGTCACAAAAAGTTTGTCTCATTTTGAGTTAAGTAGATACCTTTTAATTGTTTATAACAATGTTTTAACGGCAGTTTTATTGATGTGTGGAGAATCAACTTTTACGTTTAGTAACAGTATATCGCACTGCTATTACAATAGTGTTGTAACTCAAAATATGTGACTTTCAAGATTATTCTGTTATTGAACGTAAAATTTGATTCTGTACACGTCAGTGAAACCATTCTTAGATTATTGTAAGATACAATTAAAAAACAACTACTCAACTCAAAATGAGACAAACTTTTCGTGACCTAGATCTGGACAAAACAGACCTCACTATTGAGTATGTACGGATAACGGCACATCAGACTACACATTTTTATTCGAAAATCACCTCCATTGCAACGGAACAAGATACGTCAATGAGTAAGATGAAAATATTTTTTCCCTTTTATTTTTCAATATATTTAATTGTTTAGATGTATGTAATAAATTTTAATCTATACATAATTTTAATAATCTTTCACGGGAAGTGAGTAATAGGGAATCGGACAATTTTTCAGAAAGTGTCTAGAATTAACTAAA